AAACCAAACCAAACCAAACCAAACCAAACCAAACCAAACCAAACCAAACCAAACCAAACCAAACCAAACCAAACCTCCTAAAGGCTAGATGACTGAGATGAGGGTCAGACTGCTTACCAAACACTCTTAAGACTGAATTTGACTGCCAGCATTGTAAAATAACATTTGGGGAGAGAAGTACCAAGTAAATAATCAAAATGTCAAACATGTATGAACTCCCAACTAAGACCTTAATTTCATAGAAGTCTTTCCTTTGAGGCTTTGTTAGCCCTATCTATGAATGGGAGAGAAGCTTGACTCCTTGGCAAGCTTTCTGTGTCTGGCAGTTTATAAATCCCTATCCCTGACCAAAACAATCCAATACAACATATTATGGTATATGTATGCTGTCATGAGCATACAAAAGGCTGAGGCAAAAGAGCTGAAAGTTTAAGGCCATCCTTAGCAACCTCATCTCAAAGGAACCAAAAGAGAGGCCCTGAAAGGTAACAAACCTTCATCGAATTGCCATTAGATAGTATGCGATTCACAAAGCTCGGTTCTGGACTAAGCACTGCCATTCATAATTCAATCACCTTGCCAGTTTTGTAGTAAGGAAGACACAGCAGCTGCTGTTATTAAAAGGGACTAGTCTCCTACCTCCAAGACACATTGGTGGGATAACTGGGAGAAGGAATGTCACAGAAAAAGCCAAAGAACCCCAAGTATCCTTTTTAAGGAGGCATCCTATTGCTTGCATGTTTAGTTTCCAGCTGCTTAGCCTGAAAAGTAACCGCAAAATCTAGTAATTCAGCAATGACCCCCCAAGCCCAGGCTATTAACTTGTTATTAGATGATGCTGGCACCAGCTAAAACTGCTAGGTTTCCTATTTCTCCAGGAGCAATCCTCAACCTAAATCTCAGAAAGGCCAAGAAGCAGATTCCCAAGAAGCTTAAGCTGCATCATCCACCACCCACCCCATACATTCAGAGATCGGACAAGATTGGGTATGGTCAGCGTGGTATGGCTGTAGATTATGCATCAGCTTTCTAATCTACTAATGGCTAGGACCATAGGTGGGCAAAGTCTGGTGCCTAGCAGGGGGCTGGGGAAATAGCAGACACCTTGAAGAGTTTGAATCTTCTAAAGCTGCTAATTACAAGAGCAAGATCTGTGTAGCCACAAGCAGCCACTGCCACTCACTCTAAATTACTATAACATGTTTAATCGGAGAGCCAAGGGTGGGTGAAGGAATGTGGACATGATCTAATAGGGAAATAAATGTTAAGTATAAACTGTAATCAGTAAAATGCCTGCAATTGCCTAGTTGGGAATGCCTTTCTCTGAAAACAATAAGCTTATATTTCCATCACTCTCTTCTGCCATGCTCCAAGCCAGCTCTTTTCCAAACAAATTTCATCAGCTTCCAAGTACTGCAATCACTTCTATTATTACACTTCTGTCAAGGTCACCTCACTGAAGAAGAAGAAAAAGACTTTAAGTCATATACAAGAACTGAAAAAAAAAATAAATAAATAAAACAAATGCTGCTTCAAGGGTACAGATTTGTGAACCTGAGTCCACTGGAGTCCAGAGTCCTGAGTTAAGATACCTATTATCACACTAACAAAAGTAGCAAAACTTCATCTCAGTAGGAGTAGATACTGAAGATATGGGTCAGTGTTAAAGTACCATGCTGTAATTATACAAAGTCTTGTCAACCCCTTGTAAAGTAAGACCCACAGCTCTATTAAGGACAAAACCAAAGCCATCCAGAATTCCAAAAATATACACAAGGGACATATTTTTTTCTACCCACTTTCATGTATAAGTACAAATAGGAACTCTGATTCCGTAAAAATTACATCAGCTATATTTGCCATTATATAGTAGTCCTTTATTCATCTGAGACGTTTTCTTTGTTTTGAGACAGGGTTTTAGGTATAACTCAGCCTAGCCTGAAACTCTATGTATCAAAGATCACTCCACACTCCTGATTAGGCTGCCTCCACTTCCCAGATGCTAGGATTACAGGCACGGGCAACCACGCCAATTAACCTCTTTTTATTTATTTTGTTATAGAAATAATATCTCTTTCCGCAGTAAGAAATCACTCCACTCCACAAACTTTGAGATTAATAAAGGAAATGCTCTTTACTACTGCTTTTCCAGCTCTGGCTAATGCTCAGGAGCCGGCCTAAAGTAACAGATTTTACTAATTTATATATACCTTAGGCTTGTGCATTCAACATATGCTATAATCCTTAAACCTTAAGTCCTGGATACCAGGTTACACTTTAAGTAAGAGTCTCTACCGGAAATTCAATCTGGCCACTTCAGCAGATGGGAGATTTACACAGCAAAGAAAGTACTAGAATTATTATTAATATTGTTGTTATTTTGGTTTGGTTCAGGCTGTCCTGTAACTCAGAAATCTGTCTGCCTCTGCCTCCTGAGTTCTGGGCCTAAAGGCATGCACCACCACTGCCCGAAAAGCCAGAATTCTTTAGTACACCACTACTGTTCTTTTCAAACAGTTGTTGGGGGGGATCTTCCCATCTGGCAGAAGTCTGCTTTTTGCCCGAAGTGGGAAAGGGTGTTACTTTATGGCAAGTCTGAATTGAACATTGGCTGTAATCCTGCACTGGCCCCTTGTGCTGCTAGTTAGAGAGAGGCCTGTTCACTGGGAATGGGCCTAAGAGCTGGTTTTAAACCAGGACTGTCTCTTTTGTTACGGAAATGGACCTAATGGCTGGTCAATCCTGGTGAACAAACATTTACACCCTGGCTACAGAGATACTTCCCTCTAACAGTCCTGGTTAAGTAACTGCTCATCTTGGCGGAGTTTTAGGAGCAGACCTCCTTTAGCTAATTCTGCTTTGCAGGATCGAATGTGTCCTCAGCAAATCTGTTAGTCAATCCCTTCTAACATTAATTTTAATAGACTTCATACTCACGAACGGATTTCTCCATTATTTACTGCTATCAAAGTTGTAAATGTGCCCATCCTTACACCGTTTTATATATCCTTAAGTACATACTTGGGGATATATACCTAACAATGATTATAATAAACCTAAGAGAAATTAAAAGGTGAAAAAAAGGTGACTATGACGAGGTTTCTGCCCTTCCATTTAAATTAAGGTGACAAACACAGAGGGTAACCAGAATTCAAAATAAAACAAACAGCATTCTTGCTTGTGCTCTTTTGTCCTTCAGTTTTGTTTTTGTTTTTCAACACAGGGTTTCTCTGCATAGGCCCAGCCATTCTCCGTCTGTATACCTGACTGACCCTAAATTTAGAGACCCACATGCCTCTGTCTACCTGGGAGTAAAGGAGCTACCATCCCGACTTTGAAATTCTTTAATAGTGTTTCAAAGGTATGCTAATGTTTTTCAGTGTTTACTTTTGTTGTAGACTTGTTACCCAGCAGAAAATAAGTAGAAACCATTTGCCCTGGAGGCAGAGAAGGCATAAAGGCTGGATTCACACCTTTCTTTCCTACTATTTCAACAAACAAGGAGCGGAAGCCATTCTTTCAAAAGCAAAATGGTTGCTTATCAAGCTACTCTAATCCTTCCTGGGTTAATTTGCACTTATGGTTTCTGTTAGGTTGTGCATCTCAGTGTGGAAAATACAAGCAAGCATCAAAAGAAGATATTTTTCTGCACCCTGACAAATCAGATTAAAACAGAAATATTTTCAGCCGGCTGTGGAGAGAGTAGACCCTTAAAGGCCACTGGCCCCTTCCTCCCTCCATTCTAAAGCTGCCTGCCTGCCCCTATCTTTCCCGCAGATGAGATCCACGCTATGAGATCTCGGCCTTACTGCTAATAACCTCGCTACCAGGCATCAAGGTTTTGGGGCTTAGCTGTCCCATGCTATTTGGTTGATGAACCACTAGCTGCAAGGTCCATTTCCACTTCCCCTTTCTCATTCCTAGGAAAGGCTTCCTCATATTCTCTACTCTTAGGGAAACCTGGATTCTACACCTATATTTGTCCTACTCAAATGTCTTATGTCCAGTAACACTAAGAGCGATCCATACCAATTTAAAACAAAACTTGTTGCTGTCCTAGTCTAAAAGGAGATAAACAGGCAGCTTTAGAATGGAGGGAGGAAGGGGCCAGTGGCCTTTAAGGGTCTACTCTCTCCACAGCCGGCTGAAAATATTTCTGTTTTAATCTGATTTGTCAGGGTGCAGAAAAATATCTTCTTTTGATGCTTGCTTGTATTTTCCACACTGAGATGCACAACCTAACAGAAACCATAAGTGCAAATTAACCCAGGAAGGATTAGAGTAGCTTGATAAGCAACCATTTTGCTTTTGAAAGAATGGCTTCCGCTCCTTGTTTGTTGAAATAGTAGGAAAGAAAGGTGTGAATCCAGCCTTTATGCCTTCTCTGCCTCCAGGGCAAATGGTTTCTACTTATTTTCTGCTGGGTAACAAGTCTACAACAAAAGTAAACACTGAAAAACATTAGCATACCTTTGAAACACTATTAAAGAATTTC